CGGCGAACACAGCCTGGACAGCCTCGCAAAGAGCGTGGGGCGGGCGTCGGTCCTTTGCGGAAGGTGCTGGAGCTCACGTGACACTTGGCAGAGATTAGCAGCATCGAGAGCTCAGAGGTAGGGGGAGGTCCGAGCTTCTGACAGCGTGCGTGCGTGCGTGCGTGTGTGTGGTGAGATGCGACGCCACTCCGCCCACCTCCCCAGCTCCCCGTGCGTGCGTGCGTGCGTGCGTGCGTGTGTGTGGTGAGATGCGACGCCACTCCGCCCACCTCCCCAGCTCCTCGACCCCGGGATGGACACCCCCAGTCGCGTGAGCCGCGGAACGCACGTGTGCGCGCTCGCTCTCGCTCATCCTTCCAGAAAACCACTGCTGAGCCCGGGGTGGGTCTTAACAATCACAACGACAACACGACAGCAAGGAAAACAGGGCGGAGGCAGGAGGCAGGGCACAGGAGGACAGGGGGCCTCCGTGGGGCTGGAGCAGAGTGGACGCCGAGGGCGTCGTGTGTTTCTGAAACGGAGCTGCCATCCTTCTGTCTCGGGTGGGCGTTGGCGAGACCGCGCCTTTCGATTCCCCCTCAAAGTCCCCCACGTCTCCGTTTGGCAGCAGGTAACGAAAGCAAAATCGTCGGGCTGAGGCGTGCTCTGCTCACTCTAGACTGTCCACGATGAGACGGCCGAGGGCAGCCAGGGCAGATTCTGTTGCTCCCAGGGACGTCTGGCAATGGCTGAAGACATATTTGGTTGTCACAGTTGGGGGACTGCTACTAACATCTAGTGGGTGGCGGCCAGGGATGCCGCTCAGTGTCCTGCAATGCCCAGGACAGCCCCCACCACAAGGAATCCTCCAGCTCCAAATGCCAATAGTGCTGAGGTTGACAGACCCTGGACTAGAGTCTCCTAATTGCTTAGGAGCCAAGTCTGGGCCCTTCGATATCCTGGGGTCGTTTTCTAGAAGGCTGTGAAAAACAGCATGGTAAGGTAGCTTTGTCCTTGCCTGTCAGGGCCACCTCGGTCAACGTGGGCTCTATTCTGGACCGAACACACATGCCCTACTCATTCAGAACCACTCAAATATTCTAGGACAAACAAAATGATAAACGCAATAAGGCATATTTACTCCTGACCTCCTCCCTGGCATGTGGCTTTGACAAGAGACCCCAAACAGACTTTCTTTTTAGGAGTGACAGTTTACCTAGGTCCTCACGTCTGAGACGCATCTGTGTTTGGGGAGAGGCAGCTTTTCCTCTCTGGCCCTTTCGCCACCAGGTAGGGACAGGCAGTCGACTAAGGACAGGGTCAGTGTGAGAGAAAGAGGAGAGACCAGGTAGGCGGCAGCCCCCGGAGGCCAAATTCAGGTTCATGGGGACCCCCTGTGTTGAGTCCCTGGGAGGCAGGGCTACTCCCTCAGACTGTCAGACCCATGTTTCCTCCACCCCAGCTCCTGGCCTTTCATTTTTGAGCCAAACAGGGCATCTGGATGCAGGAGATGTTACAAGGGTTGGGAGAAGACAGGGAATATGGGCAGATGATATCGGAAGCTCCAGTGAGTATTTCTTCTTGTCACTTGAGGGCAGCCTTAGATTAACTCGCCGATTCAGAGAGAAGTCTTTGTAGATGAGGTGGGTGCAGTGACATGCTGGGATCAGGGCAGTGGAGAGAAAATGTACACGTAAACATGGCCAGCTGAAAACAATATCTTAAGTCCACAGTTTTCCTAATGGCAGGAATTAAAAGGCCCTTTTGGGGGCTGGTGCTACAGGGGTGAAGGAGCCCAGACATTCAGCTTGCCCATTCCGGCAGAAGCCGTGTGCCCCATTATCTGGGTCAGAGAGCCTCACTGGTTTTGGACTCAGAGCAAAACCTGATCTCCTTTTAGAGCCCAAAGCCTGTGGCTCTAGAGAGTATGTCTGGCAGGAAAACCCTGTGTTCAAAGGCCAAAGTCTGCTGGCTGGGGGTCAGTTTTCTCTGTGCTTCTCGGCCTGGCTGGACCTTAGGAGGACTGACCCTGTTGACTCGGGGAGAAGCTGGGTATCACCTCAGCTTCTCAAACTCATCTTTCCCTTTAGCCTGTTTTTCTCTCATGAGGCCCCATCCTCAGCCAGCCTACAGGCAAGAATCTCGACTTTCTTGTTCGTTTTCGTCTTGTTTTCAGCTTCCACAGCAGATGGTCCCAGGTCCTGTTGATTCACCCCCTGGAATGTCTCTTATCACTGCATCTGCTGCTTCCCTCATTCCAGCCTTGGTTACTGCAGTCACCTACCAGTAGGTCAACAGGACAGCCATCCCTGCTCTATGCTGCAGCCAGCACATTCTCTTCCCAGCAAAACTCCAATCACCATATTTTCCCTTTTTAAAAACACTTTTGAGAACTCCCTGTTGCCTACCAAATAAAGTCAAAATTCCTTAACATGCCACTCACTCCTCCCTACCGCTGGGTCCCTGACCATCTTCCCAGCATCTCTGTCACCATTCTGATCCTCCCCCAGCCTTCCAGAGCGGGGCTACATCTGACGCCATCCCCGATTTACCCTACATGCTCGCTGGTCATGCCTTTCTTCTCACTCTCTCTCCTTCCTGGCAGACCTGTCTCCTCAAACCCGCTGGTGGAACCCCACTCATTTAAGTTGATTCTAAGACTTGTCTCTACATACCAGATTCTAACCTAGAAGAGAGGAACTGTGATTTGCACGGTATGCTCCACCATGCCTTCTGCATACTGGAGAAGCAACAAATGTTATGGATTAAGTGAAAAAAATAAAATAAAAATTCGATCACTTCCATGGACCAGGTCCTGCAACTGCGCATCTTAGGAACAGTATCTCATTTAATCCATCTTGTTATAAAGCGGACATACAGACTCAAAAGGTTAAAAAGTCAGCAGCTCATAGCTGTCTGCGGAAACTGGGGCAGAGTTAGCGTTTGGACTCAGGTCTGCTTCCAAAACTCCATTCTGGTGGGTCTGAAAGCTACTTGGCTGTCTCACTCCGTGGAAACCAAGCAAAAACCATCTCCTCTCAGGGAGTTTAACTACTTCTGCTCCTTTCCCAGCACAAGGTTTGGGAATTAGATTCACATTAATGCTAGGAGAACATGGCTATCCCAGCTTTCCTGTTGCTGGGGATGACCCAGTTCCTCCAGGCCAAACTCACTTCCGTTAAATGAGGTTGGAACTACTCTAGACCATTTCAAGGAGGAGAGAGAAATTAAAGGTCTGTCACCTGAGTAACCTCAAATGTCTAGCCAACCCCATTTTCGCTCGCTTATTGTTAAAACCAAATTTTGCACCTATTTTTGGTGACTGGGGACGGAACTAAAAACCACCGCGGGAGGGCAGCATTGACACATTCTGGATCAGAGCTCAACCCTAAATCGCATCTCCGCTCTGCCTCTGGATAGGCTCATTAAAGCCAGGCTTTTGGTATCGGCGATTCTGATACGCGAGAGAAACAGATCGGTCCCGTCTCCCGTCTTCTAGCCAGGAGTTATGAAGCAGCTGTATTTACTTTAAAAAAAAAAAATCGTTCTTTGGAAAAATAAAATCGTTCTTCAGAAGAAAGATGACTCCCGGTTATATAATCATTTCCTTGGACTTCCTGATAAAACAAGATGCTCTTTCCATCTATCTGCCAGCTACTAGGATAGGGATAAAGGAAGAAGCTGCCTGGCACATACTGAATGCTCGGAAGTGTGTATGCGTTGATGAGAAAGCGTGCGTGTATAAAGCTTAATTTGGAGAGGGAGGCCCTGATCAATTCCTCTTCGTAGGACAGCGG